TTTTTTAATCAGAGAAAACCAGGATCCCTGCTGATGACTGTTGCTGGCTTTTCCTCGAAGACAAATCACAAAGCACCTAGGTGAACTTGCAAAGGAACAATAAAATATGCTCTGGACATCAAAATAAATGTTTTTATAGGGAAATGAATAGAAGCAGAGTAGAACTTTTTATGGAATTCCAAGCTCTTTGTAATGGGTTTTCTTATAACCTAGCATATCTCCACCCACTTCAAGCAGTATGTTTAATGGAATGAAAATACCTTTGTCTTAAGTGCATGAGCCTGATATAATTAATGGAAAACTGAACATCACAAACACAGTGGCTTTGCCCTTTACCTCTGTAAATATCAGACCTGTATTTTATCAGAGCCATCAAGCATCCAGTGTGTGGCTGCAGACCATGCTAACACAGTTTATGAAGTAAAAGAAAAAATGGTCTGATACATAGCACCTGGACTCTAGAGAGAAACATTTACACAGTCTAATAGGAGAGCTAGCAGCAAGGTAGAACTGAAGTTTTCAACTCTACACATTTTTAATGGTCATTACTAAATACATAGAGATAACAGGCATAGTTCTGGTTAGCTATTGCCTTCTCACTTTCATGATTCCCTAAAACTAGTCTGAAAATATTTTAAAGGAAGAACAGGTTACAATTCCAATTCATACCTTACATGTTAATATTCTCTCTGTGCAATAAATTGTGCAGGAAATATTTCAGAGTGGATAACTACGAAAACAATCAAGAGGTATGCAGGACAACTGAAATCCAAATCAGGCTGATGGTTGCTGATCAAGCCGTGGAACCAAAATCAAATAAACATATATAGCATCACAGGTAAAGAGACTATCAGAATCTGAATTTAGTTCTGTTGGTCTGTGCCAAGATCTGGCTCCCCAGAGAAGAGCTGATGAAGGCAGTTTTACTTGTTTCCTGTAGCCTTCGTATTTTGTCCATGAACCTTAATCCAAGGTTATCAGAATTGTGCAGGGGGAAAAAACAACTCTTTAGGTGGGAATGTTACTGTCCACACAGTTATTAAATGACGGGGCTTATTCTTCAGGAATTGCCTGCATGTCCTCAAGCTCTCTCTTGCTTTCTTCATCCTAGGAAAAGCAGAGAAAGACATAGTAAAGACCACAACTGCCGGCTGGTATAATTCCGAGCCATTTACAAAATAAAATAAGGTTCATTTGTTTCCTTCTTTCTTTCAACCCTGTACTTTCTTCCCTGCCTCACATCCCTCCTCGTCCTGCCTCTTGTCACAGTCCTGTTAGGAGGAATGTGAAAAGCTATTCAGGTTTTCCAAACAATGAAAAAAGAGCTCCTTGTATATTTCCTTTGAACTTCTGAGCATGGAGGACTGAGAGCCAGGGACACTGATCTTCCAGCTGTGGCTCTCACCCCGGGTGCTTTTCCTATCAAGTATTCTTTTTCCAATTAACAAGTGAGCTAATTCTTCCAGTTAACAAGTGAGCATCCTAGCTCCGTCTAGAGGCTCACCCTAAGATGAGGAAGCTATTCATTTGTTCCCTGGAACTTGCAGATTTTCTGCTTAAAGAATGGAACGTGTGGGTTTGATACCCTGGTTTTCCTGGATTAGGCGCTGTGCCCAAGTACTTGGTGCAATACTGGACCGTGTGCTGCAGGTGGCAGTGCAGTAGAGTCAGCAGACTGCTGGCAGAGACTCCTTGCACACTTGTGGCCTGAACATAGCAGAACAATTTTGCTACAGGAACACAAGGTCTCATTAAGATTTTAAAATGCTGTGTGTATAATAAGAAGTAGATCAGTGGTTCTCACTTTTCTTTTTCTGCGGACCACTTGAAAATTGCTGAGCGTCTCAGCGGTCCACTTAAAAAACTTTTTTTTTGTTCTGCAAATCAAAGCACACAACTCATATTTTAATATCAGTAGTCTTACCTTACAAGTACAGATACTCTCGATTGTTCCGCAACCTTTCTGCGGACCACCTGAATGGAGCTTGCAGACCAGTGGTGGTCTGTGGACCACAGTTTAAAAACCTCTTAAGTACACTATACCTATAATACTGCTTTGCATCTCAGTGTTAATTCAACACCACAGAGCCTGAAGGGAGAAAATTAGGGTGACTTGTTTAGACTTCACTGACATTTGTGATAATGGTGATGTAAATGATATCTGACTAAAAGTAAAAATTGGTGGGTTTCCAATCTGTCTGCAACTGACAGCAACCCCCTGGCAGCCCCTTCCTCGCACCTCAGCTGATTTCTTTATTAAGCAAAACTATTATACAATTTCCAGCTAGAAAACACTAATATGATGCCTCTGGCACA